GCATGTAGGTACATTATTAAATAACACTTAAAATAGAAACCGATATTAAATTAATTATTCAACATAAACATATTTCATTTGTAATTGATGCAATTTCGTGTAGGTATAATACATACATATACATAAACATAATGAATAGGTAATCTAATTTTTATACAAATTTACATTATTAATAATACATAAAATAGGAACCGTTCTAGAATTTATTATTCAACATAAAAATATATTATTTATAATTAACCCTTCCAACGATCGATTATTTTGAGTTGCATAATTAAATAAAGTAATATGTATTTTTATAACTTAGACCACTGTTATTTAGTGTATGATTTGATTTTCCCTCGAAAACAATCATTTCTCATTACTCCTTATTCAAAGCACCCAATGTCCCGGATTTAGAAAATTTGGACGCATTTTAAGGTAATTCATTTTAATAATACATTAGAGAAAAATATATTTCTGTTTCAATTAGTTGTTTATCCATCAGAAAATATTATAAACATATAATTTAGTTTTACGATGTTCCCAAACTTATATCAATAGGCATATATGAATGAAATCGTTGTTATGTGTATTATAACGTAGACGCGCAATGATTTATGCATCATCAATTTATTTTTGTTGTCATTTGTAGGACTTGTGTTAGGCCTCCGACTGAATGCTTAAAACTTCAAACATAAATCAATATTTAGCAAGTTATTTGCAATTAATTGCAAGTCCATTATTACAATTTGTAAGTTAGTAGTTTCTTCAGGAAACAAAAAACATGAAAGTAACTTCACACACGTATTTGTAAATTTGGCAATGTTGCAAAATTAGTTCATTGATGCTCAATGACTCATTTAAAAAAATATTTATATTTTAATCGTTTTCCCTCAATTTAGTTATTAGAAGTAAGGTTCAAAAAAAAAAAAAAAATGTTAGTCAAAAATTATAAATTCGGGGTCGAAAGGGGGTTGAATTTTTGACTATCATTTTTTTTTTTTTGCTTGAACCTTTCTTCTTATAGCTAATTTAAGGAAAAACGATTAAAATATAAATATTTTTTTAAATATATCTTTCTTTAAAGGTATGGTGTACAAAAGAATCATTGCAGGGCACCCATGAACTAATTTTGCAACATTGCCAAATTTACAAATACGTGTGTGAAGTTACTTTCATGTTTTTTGTTTCCTGACAAAACTACTAACTTACAAATTATATTAATGGACTTGCAATTACTTGCAAAAACCTTGCTAAATATTGATTTATGTTTGAAGTTTTAAGCATTCAGTCGGAGGGCGAACACACGTCCTACAAATGGCAACAAAAATAAATTGATGATGCATATATCTTTGGGAGTCTACGTTATAATAAACATATCAATGATTTCATTCATATATGCCTATTGATATAAGTTTTGTGAAAATCGTAAAATTAAATTATATGTTTATAATATTTTCTGATGGATAAACAACTAATTGAAACGGAACTATATTTTATTTTCTAATGTATTATTAAAATTAATTATCTTAAAATGCGTCTAAATTTTCTAAATCTGGGACATTAAGTGCTTTGAATAAGGGGTGATGAGAAATGATTGTTTTTGAAGGAAATTCAAATCATACACTAAATAACAGTGGTGCAAGTTACAAAAATACATATTAGGTAGGTACTTTATTTAGTCATGCAATTCACAATTTAATCCATGGGTCACTCATGGTTGTCACAGAAAAACAGATGAATTGTTAAATATCATGATGTATAAAATCATCACTGTTCTGGGAAGGGTTAATTACAAATAATATATTTTTATGTTGAATAATAAATTCAATAACGGTTAATATTTTATGTATTATTAATAATGTAAATTTGTATACAAGTTAGATTACCTATGTATTATGTATATATCTATGTATATTATACCTACACAAAATTGCATCAACTGCAAAGAAAATATGTTTATGTTGAATAATTAACTCAATATCGGATTTTATGTGTTATTTAATAATTTACCTAAATGTAAATTGTAAACTTGTACAAAAATTAGATTACCTACCTATGTTTTATGTAATATGTTTATGTAGTCAAAAATTATAAATTCGGTGTTGAAAGGCTTGGTATTTCATGTAGGAATTATACATAAACATAATACAGAGGTGATATAATATTTAAAGAAATTTACAATTTACATTTTCATTAATACATAAGCACAATACTTAAGTAGGTAATCTAATTTTTATAGAAATTTACAATTTACAATACTTTATAATCTGCGGTAATAAAGCAAACAATTTTTTGGCTCGGAACCAAAGTGATCGTCTACGTTTTACCATTATTTCTGCTGGTGGCACCTGCTCGTCGACTTGGATTCCGGACTAAGTCGTTAGACCAGACGTGCCGTCCGGATCATTTTCGATAAACGTCACGGGGTGGACTATTTCGACAGCCGAATCTTGAGCCGGCAAGTTTTGTGCACAGGCGAAGGGCAATTCCGGTACACAGGGCGGTCCTCGCCAAGTCCTTTACACAATTTGCGACCAGCTGCCGGAACGTAGACCCTGGTATTTGGTCTACCAAATCATTTGGCACATTACTTTCCGTTTTCGCAGAAGCAATTTTGCCATAATAATGAGCTTTTAGCCGCTTAGCGGCCATGCACCGTAAAACTGGGCACGGCTTGAGAATATATGGTCCAAATCCACGGCGGACCGACTTAAAGAAATCTGCGAAGGCTGCATTATGTAAGGGCAGCGTCCACGTTTAATCGTTTTTCCGACTACTTCAGTAGACCGTGGTGTTGTATCAACCGTATTTTTTAAGTCATATTCACAAGCCCTTACCAGCCGCTGGAATATGGATTCCGTGATCAGGTCCACCATATCTGTCGGTCCATTTAATTCGGCTGTCGCTGCAGCAATGTTTGCAAAATAAAGTCCTTTTAGCCCCGCTTAGCCGCCATCGCACCGTAAAATCGGGCCCGGCTTGAGAAACCATGGTTCAAATCCTCGGCGGACCGACTTAAAGAAAATGTGCGTAGGCTGTGCATTATGTAAGCGGCGAGGCGTCGACTGACCAATGCCGGCGAAAAACGGTACTGTCAGTTTACCATAATCGAACTCTGTATATAAAAACCACACAAAACAGCGTTTGGGCTCCAGAGCCGTCAGAAAATCCTCGGTAATACTATAATAACTATATACAATGTGTAAAACTATTAATTAACTATCTAACTATTAATATGGCCTTAGCCGACAAACAACGTTTATACCACACAATTAACGAATTTAAAGAATATTTAATTCACAAAAATATAATCAAATATTTGTGACAAGTACCAAGGTGTCAAATTATAATTTTACATATTTTTTACATATTTTTACATGCATACATTTTATGTTTTGAATTGACAAATTTTCATTAACTTTTTTATTGACAGTCAAATAAATGACAAATTGAAAATAATTATAATAATTACATTATATTATATTATATTATTAACATTGCAGATAAAATCGTACGGAATCTTGTTGTTTTTGTGGTTAATTTGACAATCCATTGTTTGATCAAATTCGTATGGAATAGTGTTGTCAAAAAGGTAAAACGTACGGAATCGTGCTTTACAGCAGTCGAGGGGCAACTCCGGTGCACAGACGGTATTCGCCAAGAGTCCTTTACACAGGTCGCGACCAGCCGCCGAACTCAGGTATTTGGTCTACCAAATCATTTGGCACTTGGCTTTCCGCTGTCGCCGAAAAAAATTAGATTACCTGTGTTTTATGTATTTATGTATACACTAAATTGCTTTGATTACAAATAATATATGCTTATGTTAAATAATTCAATACCTATCGGTTTCAATTTTATTTATTATTAATAATCAACACCAAAATACAATTGAAAAAAAAAAACGTGGGCAAGTGACCCAGTCTCTGTGATTTATACGTTAAATTTGAATTCAATGATATAAAAACATTGAATACGAAAAACGGTTCTGACTTTGATCTGCCATCAAGACAATAATATTACTAAGTATATTTTATAATATTACGGCTGTTAAGATAAATTATTTTACTATTAGACAATAGCACAGTACTTAAAATATAGACTAAAGTAGTTTTTTCCAAAATACTTGCATTTAAAAATTTCGTTGTGTGTATACAGCAAATAATATTATATATACATTAATAGTTTCAAGTAGGTACCTACCCACAGTAAAATGTTTAAATTATAACATAATAATCATTATTCGTCATTTAAATATCTAATTCTGTCAACATTTAAACTACACTTATGAAAAAAATCGTGCATACATAATACATATTATCTTTAATGTTTTTATTCTATTATTAAAATAACTTCTTATGTAAACTACCTTGTATTCCATTTTTAAATCTTAGATATAAACAAAAAATATTTTATTAATATCTAACTCATAATAGCTTGAACGTTTTTATAATTTTGACGAATTTCGTCACTCATAATATAGAAAATATAATATATTTAGTTAAAATGTGACAATGAGTAAAAGGAAACTAAAAAAAAGGGGCGCCAAAATGTGTGTACCCAGGGTGCCAAAATTAAATACGCCATTCGACGCCAGCTATGAGCTATATAGGAAAAGTTTAACGATAAAATGATTAATTTTTGAAATAGTTCAACTTTATCTAAGTAAAAAAAAATTTTAAACATTTACAAAATTATACAAAAATTGCTTGAGCTCTAACTCGTAACTTCAAACTTGTAATCAAGTATACAATATCATAATATGACAAACACAACTCTTAAATTAAATTATTGTAATTTGTGTACCCAATTCACTTTTAACTACGTTAAGTTGCCTATCGATAAAACACGGTAATCTAAAAATAATTATCACAACCTACAATAAATAAATTATAAAACAATTTCACTTAACAACTACAAATTGACATTATTTTATACCTAGTGTTTTAAATTGTTTTAAAATGTAAGCTTAATGTGTTCTTCACGTTTTTCTTAAAATATTAAATTGGTTTAGTTTATTCGTCATCTTCTTCGAGTCTGTGATTCACATACATCATTTGGTTGTTCAATACTTCATTCTGCTCAAGAAAATCATCACGAATATCGACCAAGTCGTTGTACAGTTCATCTAGTGCATGAAATAATAAAAAATAATAATTACATAAGTTCTTAACTTTTGTACTATCGAGTGCGTGGGAGTTGATCATTACCGTTGAAAAAACTATGCGATTTTCCTGACCCTCCTACCTCTGCTGGTAATTCATTTCTCGATATGTAATTGAATATATCATCTGAACCGACTGGATGAAGTGTTATCTGCAAATTATCACATGAAGCTATTGTATTAATTAACTAGATAAACCGCTATTATAGTAATAAATAATTATACAGTTATGAATTATAAGTTATATCAATATAAAACTATTTGACAATGCACTCAACACGTCAAGTTTGTTCATATTATGCTGTTCTTGCAGTACCTAATTCAAAAAATAATATGTTTAGAAAATTCAATGTTTTAGTTTTTATCTTTATTTTGGTCTGCAATATTACAGTGAAATAATCGCTATGGTTAGGTAGAATTCAAGAAAGATAGAAAAACCTCTAAACATCGGACACTGGAGCGCTGTCATTTTGTCCACTATTTGGAGGTGTTCGCTATTTAGAGGTTTTGTTAGGTATTTAGAGGTTTAACTGTATTTCAGAAGTTAAAATTTACACAAAAATGTATACAAACATAATTTACATATTATATAGTTGTAACAAATTTACTATACACATATCAGGGGTAAATTTGCATGGTGACGTTAGTTTTAATTTAACAACATTTTTTACAGTGTAATTCACAAGTAATATATTGTATAGAAAATGCAAGGTTTTAATTTTTTATCTTTATTTTAGCCTGCAATACTACAGAGAAATAATCGATATGGTCAGGTAGAAAGATAGGCCGTGTTGTACACGCGACACAGTAATGCGTAATTGTTAGTAGATATAGCTAGATAGTTCTTTTCTAGTTGTCTAATTATATATATATATACATACATTTTTGAATGAACATAAACACATCATTCATAATCAAATTTCAGAACCATTCTTTTTTAATTTCAATTTTTTGTGCATATTTTAACATATTATTTATGCAATTATGCATATTTCGGAATATAATTCTGAATATTTGCATACATATTATTATAATTGTATTTTTACTTTATATAATACATAGTCCCTTCGAAATGTTGGTCTGCTCAAATAAAATTAAAATGTATTAATTTTTTTAATATCAAAAAAATATTTTTACATAGGCCGTAGTTACAATAACTAAATGTATTGTAATTGGAATAGCATTGATAACATCGCATTATGTTAAATAATAATTTTAAAAACCTTTATACTTTTCGAGATAATTATTATATAAGGGAATCACTCAGTATACATTTAACATTATAATATATTATTATGTTTTTTTTTTTTTTTTTAGTATGACTAATAAGTAATATTATAATAATTAAATATAATTAATTTAAGGTACGTATACACTTATAAATTATAATTATTAACACTACGTTCACTGCATCTTAAGGCATACCCTGCCATCTGGACAACACGCCAATAACATGAAATAAATAGTGATTTTTTTATATTAAGCGCTTAATTATACGTTTATAGTTTATATTATAAAGTGTTATCTGCGAGAATAATCGTATTATTATACTCGCATTTGCAATTAGACAATTGATAGCACGATACTATTAAAAGATGTATATCTATATGTGAGGGTTCCTGAGAATTTTGACTGTGAGGGGAGGGTAGAATATTTTCTTTAATTTATGAATTAAAAAAATTAATTAATTAATCATTTATAGTATACATAATTATAATTTATAAAAATAATTATTTGCAATGTTATGTTTGATTTGTTTATTATTATAGCTTATAAAACAAAATGTTATTCATATTTTAACTTAATCTGTCAAAATAAAAAAAAATACTCGATAGAAGGGAGAAATCGCCACGACGAAGAAACCTTTGTATCGTCTATATACAATGACCAATATGCTAATTTTATGTATTAGGGTAATTCCTCGTTTTATTTGAATTGTAACTTGTACGTTAAAAATATGGATTTCAATAGATAATTATTTCTTTTTTTCTGTAACATGCTATTAGGTATTTAGGTAGGAAAATTAAATTATGTATTATTATTTATAATACAATAAAATATAGATAGAAATTACAATGTTTTCTACTGATCAATTTTTTTTACATGCAATATTATTACTTATCAAATATTATGATGTACACATCCCTTAATTGTATATTAAAATTGTATTTACCTTTTCTAATAATTCTTGATTAGCGAATCGTGTTACCATTTTCATTATCATTTGTGTAGCCGATCCTGCATTTAAAATATGTACTGCCTTTAAACGAACTGGTAGACCAACCTACAAATATCATAAGTGTATTAATTTACGTTCGTTTGTATTTTGTAATAACTAATGGCTTACAAGTCATAATAATTCGTTTTGTCTAACCTTGTTAGATTTTAATGTAAAGTAACAACAGTTAATCGAATTTGTTTTATAAATTACTTAATATAATATAATTATAGCAATATTATTTCACAAGAAGAATTTAAAAATACAACTATAAATATTAATTATAGAATCTGAAATAATGAAAATCTAGAATATGTACCTACGTCATAAGCAAAATGAAATTAGAACAGCAGTAATAATAGTTTCGGTATAATCATTGGTCACAGATAGTAAAATAGTTGTTATGATTGAATATAATTTTCTTCGACTTTGTGTTTGATTTCAATGTAAGACCGAGTAACATATTGTATGTTATAATATTATAGGCAATGTGTATGGTTGACGTTTATACACCTACTAAAAAAATACTAGACCGATTCGACAAAAAACAATTGAATTTACATTTCAACTGAAGCAAAACGGTAACGATATATCTATAATCTACCTATAACTTATATATATCTATAGATGCATTACTATAGATAGTATCAGCTACATACAATTATATTATAGTCACGGTGTCCGGAGAGAGAGGTCGCTATCCCCCAACCCGGCATGGCAGATACCTAAGGGTGCCCACTTAAAAGCTCTGCCAAAACAACCACACACGTGTTTAAAACCTACAGTACCCTCCTTCACAGTTCCACAGACTATTGACATCAGTTCTCGAAGACTCATTGCGATCAAATATCCACATAATAACAATAGTATGAAACATGTGATAACTACTCGTAAATATTACATATAGCGTAAATGAACCAGTAATGTTTAGGTTATAAGTCTAGTGTCTACACTCTATGATAATAACATTTTCAAATACCTAAAGAAAATTAACTCAGGATTTTTGGTTTCGGGAAAATGGTCATTCTACCGGATTCTAGAATACGGATTCGATGAGACTTATGATAACCAATAACCATCTACAACTAATATAATATTATCATTTGCATTTTACAATTATAGCCTATAGGCGCAAACCCTATCTAATATAGTAAAATGTAATCATATAACATTATATTATGATCTTATTAAAAGGCAGTATACTCGGCATACAATATTTGAGTATATTTTTTAATGATAAGTTCCTATTTTTTTTTTCAATGTCAGCAAGTCACTTTATTTAGAAACTAGTTGGGTGACATTCTATAAGCGTTGTTTTCTCGACTTCGATATAATATTATATGTAAGCGTTTAAGGTCGTTACGGGCCAATCAAATGCATGGAAAAAGTCAAGAGGCACATGATATCATTTACATAACACGCAGAGTTCCAGTTTAAAGGTGGCCTGGTGGGAGGACACGACATCGGGGCCCACATACGTATTGGATTCATACAGTTGTAGACTTAAAAGATTCATTTTAGTAGTCGTTTGTATTGTTTAGAGTGAAGAATATTACGTTTTAAGATATACCTACTATAAAAAAAAAAGGTGAACAAGTGGGTACTGTTCTTCTGTATATTAGGTATCATGTAGCCAGGCGCGGATCTGAGGGGGGGCTAAGGGGCTTTAGCCCCCCCCCCCCCTTTGGCCATATTTTAAGTTATATGAAATGAAATCACTATAAAAAATATTTATAACAAATTCTTTATTTATCATTATTTGATAATAACAAAAGAACAGTTTTCTTTATACAAACCAGTCATACTGGATTGTGGTTGCTGCCTGCAAACATGCATTTCAGCCGCTATGAATATAGTACCGATGTTCTTATCAATTCTACTATTATAGTAGTGGAATGGCTGGTCTGATGTAGACATCGAAACAGATAAACAGTACAGTATTTTTACTATCTCGATTGCTGTAGAGTGTAGATAATAACTGATATCAATTAGTATCAACTGACAACTATTTAGGTATGGTTGTTTGTAAATTTGTATGTGTTATAACAGTTACTATAAAACAAAATATTCAACATTTTGACGTAATTTTTTTCTATTTCAAACCTAATTAATTGTCCTATCAAGTATCAACCAACATTCGCAATTAAACCAGAAATGTACAAATTATTTTTATTAAATTAAAAAAATAGAAAAAAGTTAAAAGGAAATTGTGTATCATTCCAAATAATTAATTATTTACTATACGGGCTTTATGTTTTCTGTATTATTCTACTGGATTATACTATTTATACTGAATAATACATAGAATACCTTGAAAGTTTGGTTTTCATATATCTTCTGTTAATCGTCATTCGTCACGATCTTAGTTTTCTTAAAATTGAGTATCGAGTATCGGTCGTTAATTGGTCGGCAGTCGTTTAATTTTATATTAATTGGTAAGAACCAAACTTTTAGGAATTCTAGGTATAATATTCTAGAACAATACTAAAAACAAAAAACCCGTAATAAATAATAAATTATTTGGAATAATACACAATTTCCTTTTAACATTTTTCTACTTTTTTAATTTAATAAAAATAATTTTCACATTTCTGGTTTAATTGCGTATGTTGGTTGATAGGACAATTAGCTTTAAAATAAAAAAAAAATTACGTCAAAATGTAGAAAAGTTTTGAATATACATAAACAAATACGTGATAGGTTTGGTTTTAATAAAAAAAAAGTAAATTGCCCATAACTTAAAAAATAAAAATTTAGACCAAATTAAAGGGTATTTCTTTCATCATTTTTGGTATAATTTCATATGACGTCGGGTGGTAATTTCCGGTGGTATTTATTTTTCGTATTTATTTATTTTATTATTACAATACGTAGCCCCCCCCCCCCATTTGTGATTTCTAGATCCGCGCCTGCGTGTAGCCGTGTAGGTATCTAACTGTAATGTATGTGTTAAATTTAAATTCAATGTTATAAAATCATTGTATACGAACAATGATTCTGAGAGAAGAAGGTTGGTCAGCCTTTGATGTATTTTTTAATATTTAGTTTACTATTAGATAGGTAATTTTATATAGTAATAAAGTATAGATTGAATTAATTTTTTCAGAAAAAAATGCATTTGAAAATGCCATTGTGTATGTATATGAAATATAAAAATATTAAAAATATAATACTTTCAAATTTTTACGACGCTCAAAATTGTTTTTAATTACATCAATAACAATTTATGAGGAACCTTGTATTCAATTTTCAAAATGTCTTGACCAAGCGAAAAATAATTCATCGTTCGTCGACCATAATTGATAAAAAAAAAATTGAAAATCGAAGAGGCTCAAAAATAGTCATAATAATTTTAAAATGTCATTATAATGTCCATTAATATCTACGGTTATTAGTTTTTGAATAACACCTAACGATAATAATGTCTGAAACAAAAAAGGAAAAAAACAATTTTATTCTACAGGCTTCAGGAATAAGGATATAAAAACCAGACTGTATTATTATTTCCATTCATGGGGTCCTACAATCTATTATTCACCCTACACCCCTGGATCTAGGGGTCGATAATACAAAGTTCTAGGTACGTTTAAAATTTAAATATAACCTACTATATAATATAGTTATATCTTGGTACTACTATACATAACATAATGTTTATATTATTATTGCCATTATTGTTATAATGACTAAAGTTCAAATTTCGACTTACTTCCAAGAATTTCAACATTTTACCAGCAATTCCAATGGGTATTTTAACAATATGGCGCCAGTTCAACCCTTTGGAATCGACTACGATAACCATTCCGTCACACGTACCGTACTTCAAAAGCGTATAGTTCATCCACATAACGAGGTATTTGAAAAGTGACATGTATTCAAACATTTCGTGGTTTGTATCTTGAAACATCATAAATAGAACTCGATCACGTTTGTCCGTGTTAACAGTAGGCATTTGACCAATGCTCCTATATACAAATTAAAAAAATAACACTAAATGTATTTGTGTACCTATATAATACGTATCTCGTCACATACAAATTATTTAGCCTCAAAAACACCGGATATTTCTTATCAATAAATTTACAATCTTATTATAATCCTAAAGGATATCAGCTTAAAGCTAGTTCAAAATTTGAAAAACTAAAATCGATACTAAAAAGTATTTATCTCGCTCTGCCAGAGTTAAATATCTTGATTTTATATTCACTCGATAGAAATTTCTAAAATCTACTTGGTACATTTAATTTACCATAATTTAACTTAATTTTCTTGATATATATTGTTTAATTAGATATTTAAAATTAAAAAAATAATAATTTTGAAAATATTGTACAAAACCTATATGAAAAAATAAATATCTAAAACATAGAAAATATCACTTTACTAGGGCAGTTATTATATAATACCTTTCTGTCTATTGTAGACTTTAATTATAGTAATATGGGTACTATCTTTTTACTAGCATACATAGGTACCTACTACCTACGCTGTACTGGTTAATTATTAGCATCGAGGTTGTCAACTCAATACATATAGTAATATTACTTAATATGCATTATTTTGAAAAGCCAAAGGACGTTAAGCAAGCAAACAAACTCATAAACAGTAAACTTAGTTCATAAATATCGAATCCTAAAAAATAAAATAATGATAATATTATTATGCGAGTACAAGATAAATACCTACCTAAGTAATTTGGACTAATCAACATGTTATGTATACGAGTACCTAGTCATTATTTCCACCTCGGTAAAAGACTAAATACATGTTCTTAAATTAATTACTAAGCAGCACGCATTATACACATTAGCATAACTAAAAATAAATCTTTTCAAACAAATATAGTTAAAACATTTACAAGTAGGTACCTAACATACACATCATTAGATCCACAAAAATGATTTGTCAAAAACATATCATCACGCATACGTCCATATAAAATTTAAATTTTCTCGGTGGTTCTTTTTCTTCAAAGTGACAGCCATTAAGTTGACAATACTGTAGTACACTTAATACGTACACTAAATAGGCACCACTTTTTACGTCTTGGTTTGAACTTTAAATTTTACACTCATGACTCACCGATTTCCAGTAATAATTTCGCGACTCAAGGCCATAATTTACAGGTACTTGTTCTATTATAAGGAAATTATGCAATTTCATATATATAAGCACTGCAAAATTAAGGGCGTTAAAAAAAAATATTAAAAGCCTAATAAAAAAATTGTGTTTTGTATCCAACATGATAATGATGAGGACACATGTGTATTAACTCTCATACTTAATAAACAAAATTAAAACTATATTTGAATAAATAAAAACAGTATAGGTACTGCAGACTGCAGTAATTCAAAATCATAGAATGCTTCTTTAAATGTTTGCTTTTTATTAAAATTAGAATAATATTGACTTTGTAATAAATAATACATTTTCAGATCGTTAATATAAAAATAACAAATTTCCAAATGTCTATCCAAACAATAAAAGTTGCATTTATTATATTAAAAGACACATTCCTTTAAGTTTTCACAATTTGTTTATTTATTACTAAAAATTACACTTTTAACCCCTAAGCTTTAAGGCGTAAGGGCTTAGATACAATATCTATGTCGAATTTCCCTATTTAAATATGTGTGAATAATTTAAATTACCTCTTTTTCATAATAAAAAAACAACACATAATAATGGTACACCAATAGGTTCAGGCTCTATTCAGTACCTATCTAAAAGTAATTTTTTTTTTATTGAAGAGGGTAGGGGGAATTGTAGTTCGCACGCCACTGTTCTACAAATATGGATTTACCAATTAGGTAGGTAATGTTCGATTAACCTTCCAATTCAGAACCTTATATTATTATTAAGGCTGAGATTTCGATGCACTTTGCATTGTTTTCCGAATACTACACGATGCTCGTTTACTTACTATATGTAAGTTTCTTTTTTTTTTGAATCAGAATAAGAAGCTTTAATTTTGTATTTTTTTTTAAAGTTTTTTAACATTATTAGTTTTGAGGCATTTTTGAAATTTTTGAACCCAAAATTTTAAGATTTTTATATGCTTTTACGTAATTTTCATATAAATTCAACAAACTTTAAAGTAGGTTTGTACTAAATTATAATATTATCGGAAAATAGTAATGTAAATGTCATACCCTAGGTCAGGGGTCGGCAACCTGCAGCGCGAGGGCCGCATGTGGTCGTAAGTAAAATTTATAATTTATATAAAAATTACGAACTAGGATATAGTATGGACTGGAACATGCGTGTTAAGACGTTGTTTGTTTGTAGATACCTTGTTAAATTAATAAACCTAACAGTTATGAACTTAAAGAAACTACATTTGATATGATTTTACATTTTTGTTTAAAATAAAATATGATACCTATATAGGTATTCAAATTGTAGACCGTGAAAAATTTTCTATTTATTTGTTGGCCCTTGACATCAAAAAGGTTGGCGACCCCTGTCCTAGGTATCGAGTAACGGTCTAATGGTAGTCTAATCCGTTGGAGTAATAAATCCAACGATATCGTTCAGTAAGAGTTTTACTGTCATAACGTGTGTACTTAATTATTTTCTACAATTTGCATTTAATTATTTTAGTTGATTGCCTTTAATAGATTAATACAATGAAATATGCCAAAAGTAAAATGTTCAACGGAGAGTCGAAATAATTGTCTTTCCGGACTAAAGGAATCCAAAACAATTAGTTCTGTCCGTAAAATATTTTTACAATGTAAAATGTACATTTTTACAATTCCTTTAAAATGTATATAATATTATCATTAATACCGAAATTATTAAAAATTTTAGTGCACTGTTTAGAATTTTTAGGAATTTTCGGGTTTTTTTCAGGCATTGAAATCCTAGGTCTAATTATAATATTATTTCCACACCCAAAAAATGTCCCAATAGTAAATAATAATTAAACCAGTCGTAGTTGAATTACTCACAAGCAATTATAACTCAATTCCATATCATCGTCTAATGGGTCCAATTCACAAAATACTTTTGGAATCCTGAAGTGAAATCGGTAACATCTCTGAATGGTCTTTTTGGCTAATTCTATATCAAAATTACAGCTGTGTAGAAATGCCAAATATTTTTTGTCTGAAAAAAAAACATCTATAATTAGTCGATTTACTAAATAATTTAATCACAGCCATGTGTAATGACTACGGATACAAAATTAATGTTGGATGAAGCTATATAATATATATATACATAGACATATATAGGTACTATATAGTATATTATATTATAATTATAATTATATTTTGTTTTGAAAATGTCAAAGCTATACAAATACTTTTTAATAATACATTTTTCAGAAGGTAAATATCTATAGTTTATAATTCATTATCTGCAGAGTTAGGTACCTACTATAGATATTTATGTAAGTACCTACTTAGTAATATTCCTAATCAACGAGTAATACACACAGCTTTTTGAGTTAAGAATAACAACGATTGAATTCTACATTAGGTATCAATATTCAACTACATACGTCAAATTCTAAAAAGAAATTAATATAATCTTTTAAAATTAATAAAATATATTTAAGTATAGTTTAACAAACATAATATTGTATAATACATAACCAAAAAAACAAAGCAAAAATACTTTAAATAAAACTAATAAAATACCTACCTAACCTATTAAAATTTTAAAAATTAAGGAAATAAGTACATAAAAGTGAATACTATTTACATGTTAAATACACCATTAATGTACTCGGGTAACCACTAACCATGACAGGTGGGTGAATTAATTATAAAATAAGATTTGTAAATTAAAATTACTCTGGAAAGATGACCTTTAATGGAACATAATTAATAAAAAAATTCATGTCGTTGTCTATATTGCTATTAGATTATGTAAATTTATGTACAAACACTATTTATACAATTTTTGAGAACATATTATTGATCTGTATAATTTTGGTACTTATAATTAGGCACGTATAGTTATGATATACCTAGACCATGTTTGATGTAACAAGCGTTGTCGAGCTCCACTAAGACCATAGCCAAAGATTAGAATAAAAAATGTAATAAAAAAATTCTGTAAATAACAACTAAATTGTACATATTATTAAAAATTATTTTTATCAATATATTATATAGTGTAATGATATGCTCACACACCATTATAATAAACTAAAATCTTACAGAATACTTAATAAATAACGGCCAGACTGTCGTTTGTAGAAATCGGTCACATCAAATAAAACCATTATTAACGACAACTAAGATATCGGCACGCACTCATAACGGTAAAACGCAGGGTGTGTGACTTTATTATACGATGCCGCCAGAGAAAAGGAAAGGAAAAAAGGGTATCTGCCGCCAAAGAATAATCTAGTTCCCAAGCTCACGATAACCTTTTGATAAAGCCGCCTACCACTCTCTGGTCAGCATCTTCTCGTCATCCCTTAAACCAGTGCATGAGCACCATTCACCGAGTAACAACCTCACAAAAAAGTCAAAAAGAAACCGATTTCAACGAGCGACACTCTGGACTCCTTATGTGAGCAATAATCAGTGCGTTTATTATTTCGATTTATACTTTAAAAAATATTACTCTGTGTCTATTAAAACCCTTACAAGATAATTCATAATCGACTGCGGATCAGGTAAGGCAATTAATATAATATTTTATATTAATTGCATTTGTTATATTATCTGTGCATGGTTTATATACAATTGTGTTGTATAGTGTATTTGATCTAATTCTCGAAAACACGATCTCGAGAGCCCTCCGAACACCTGGAGGAAGGTAATTGCTTAGTCTTACGATTTTAATATATTTATCGACAGGCGTCGTATTTTATTTTATATCGTAATTGTTGAGTCATTACAATAGGTAAGTATACTAATATTTTATTGAAGTGGAAATTAACTTTATTTTTTCTAATCATTACCGGTTCTATATATTTAGATAAGATACCTACTGCTAAATATACGTCATGTAGTTATGCACATGGAACGTTAAAAGTTGCAGTGCACCTATTTTGTTCTAAAAATACCTAAATATCCTAAATTATTATTTTTTAAATTAAATTATTAAATTATAAATAATAATATTTATAAAAACTATTTTATATAAATCTTTGTCATAACATTTTTACTTTTAATCTTATTCTTATTATAGTTATTATTTAAAGATGTATTTTTATCTAAAATATTATGTTCTTAAAAATAATTAAAAACTGCAGCACTTACAATTATACAAATGCAGTGTGTGTATCAGTATTTAGCTAGTATTTTTTATTCATCGACTATTATAACCCGAATATAGTTTTTTGGAAATTAAACTACGAAAGCCAAATTATTATCAAAGTAAACGTACGCCTAAAAAAAAATCACTAGATTATCAGAAGAAAAATGTAAAAATAAAAATAACAATATGTATGATAAAAACCTCAAGTATGCAAAAAAACTATTAAGTTTTAAGTATTTTTGTCCAAACTTAAAAGCAAGTCTTAATAGACTTACGTTAAATTAACATTACTTTTATTCATTGTTCTGATTCGAATTCAATTTATTATGCAGGACAGCTTCGTGAGGTGTTGTCCGTTAAAAATAATTTATCATATTGTGTGCAATCATAAATTATAGATTATACTACCTATTATAGATCGTAACTCGCTAGCAACTGATCGGTCTTATTAATTTGTTGAATCAATTTTACATTAGTTGCTAAATTCAATTTAGGTTTCAAAATCTATTTATTTTTTTTATGTATTTTTGAACATTTAAGTGCATATAATATGAGTTTATATGACGTATGCATATTTAAGATTTTCTAGCCCATATTTGGTTAGTATTAATGCATACAAATGCGAGCTCTAGTTGTCAGTTATTACTGATTTGTCGAGAGTAGAATTTTATGTTCCTTAATGACAAACAATTTGATTTTTACGGAGCACTATGCGGAAACAAATCTTCACCGATCTGGCGATCTACCGTAGGAAAGAAAAAAATAAATTGAGTGCCAGTAACCCATACGAATACTAATCCACAAATAACAATTTACAATAATATATTATAAGCGAGTATACAATATATTATATAAATTGATACACACTACACGTCTACACGGTAAAACACAAGCGACCTCAACCCCTTTTAACATAAGAAAAAACCACTTGATAATTTGCATTAAAAATTAGTGGTTCTCATTTGAAAAAATAAGTTTACATCGGCCATAGAACACTTCTTAAATTACATAAATATCTAAGTACTTGAAAACATGGTCCCTATTTATATTAGCCCCCCCCCAAAAAAAAAAAAAACAATGACTGGTATCTAAGTAGGGACTTGCAAAATTCCACTAATCAGCATTTGAATAAATCAATTGGCAAACGAAAAAAGGGATTGTGGGGGGGGGGGGGGGTGAACATCATGCTTGGCGAATCATCCTCGTTATTATACAGGTAGGTACTAACCCGATATAGGCGGCAAATTATCGTCGTCTTCTAAGCTCTCCTTTAACTTCTGGATATCGTCAAACGTGAGCTCCGGATATTTGGTCTGCTCTATTCGCAGGTATTCGCTGAACGGTGTCGACGAGGAGTAAGTCATGTCGATGAGTTCTCGATACGTATAGGCTAAATAGTCACACTATGCGACACACATACAGCTATTGGAACCGAATGTCACGAAATCAAATAGAACAATTTGTTTGCTATCTGCAGTCGAGGGTATATAGGTACTCTTAAAATTGTGGCACGTATCCAGCCAATTTACACTCTCGAACGATGTATAATTTTTTGCCGATTTCACGTGAACGGTGTTGCGCTGTCAAACCGTTCGCGATGTATTATTGCAGGTCGTGTCGGGTATATTAAAATAATAATAATAATATAAAATATTATCGTTTCGTAAACCGTGGTATCCTAGTCAGTCGAACGACCAAGTCACTCTGCGAGTAGATCTTCGACCAGTTTATTGGCAGTAGTTATATGTAGATACGCGTAGGTATACATCGTAATATAATAATAATAATAATAATGTATCGTATACTATATGCACCAACTTGGAGAAGGGCAAGGTCAACATGAACGCCGCCACGAGCAAGAGAAACAATGGATCCCATTCAATACGTATATAAATACGTTCATAAAACATACTATATATATATATATGCATACCTTGTTTATCGAACGAGTGAATTATATTTTTATTGATAGTGTCGCACTGTCGCGTCAATTTTTTTCAATATCATTTTTTATGTTCAGGTAGCTAATCGTTTGACAATGATGTTTATTTTTCCGTGTGTGCGTCTTAAGACACTTTTTATAGCAAAAAAAAAATGCCTTAACTTTGAGGGTGATATCTGGAGGAAAATTGAAGTCAGTACTACGGGGGTAAAAAGTGAACAATTCCGCTTACTTTTCTTAATACGATCGTATTTGAAAAAACCGTTTAATTTTTTGACAAAATGGATTTTATTATTTTGTTATAATTCAATAACAAATTCCCCGGGTACTTTAAAGTTTAAATTGTCATAAAATATTTACATTACCATTTCTTATATATGATGTAATTTTTAAAGTATTTTGGGTCTTTTTACCAACACTTTTAATTGTATAATATTATAATGTATTATATATAATACTTAAATATTATCCTCTGCCAAAAAGCTTAAAAATATAATATACAAGTTTGACTTTTACCGATTTAAAAATATCGAAAAAATTAAATAATATGCACGATTTCCTTTAATCTCTTGTAATTCAAATTGTAAAAAAATTGGATATTTAAATAAAAAATAATGATTTTAGTTATTTTGAGGTAATTACATTTTTTTGTAGGACTTTAAGCTATTTAGTATTTACCCTATAATATATTATTATTTACTGTACCCAATACATTTTTCAAAGATTTTGGATGGCCATAGCACGAAGTTAAGAACCTACCTATTCACTAGCCGTTATACGTGTACTTTTCAGTGCTAAAATACTTTTAAGTATTGAGTATTTATCTATTTTTTCAATATTACGCACATAAGTATAATTTTTAACGGTACAATACTGTATCCATATAGATATTATTGACATGGATTATAATGATTTATTTTAAAATATTTTTAATTTTATTTTTTAATATGCCACTCGATGACTCATGATATACACGTTCTGCCTGTCAAACATATAATACTATAAATACAAACATTTCAAATTCTAGATAATATAAAAATGTAATAAACGAATGGTTGGTAAAACCGATGAGAAAATACTTGGTAATTATTACAAAATAATTAATGTACATGTTTAAAAATCGATTTAGTTAATTCCATATACATTCAATTCTAAAGTAAAATACATTTAGTAATTATTTCTCATAAGTATTTTAGAAAATGCATTAATTGTTTATATTTAGTTAACCATTTAATACTAAATAAGATTGAATACCTATTATATTAGCTGAATACCATTAATAATTCATAATTTATTTATTATTAATATTAAATAATAATATACCTAAATAGGTAGGTACCTATAATGAGTAAATTGTAAATCTAACCATTGTGGTAAAAATGTAATAATTATTAAGTTGATTTGATTAATATAATTTTTATTTATGCTCTTATAGTATTTATTTGTATTTAATAAAAACAAATACATTCATATCACCAAGTACCTTTATCATAAAATAAACATACATTTGCATGAAATTGAGAGTCTACAGTACAGTACTTATCAAGGAAAACTACTTATTTCAGTTATTTTTCGTCGATATGGATTTGCGTTCTAAATATTCTTTTATTTTGTAATTGTATACATATATTATGTGAATATACTATATGCATTGTACATGCATACATTTCTGTAGGTAGTGGGTACCTATAATAAAGCAGAACCAGAATCTATATATATACATATATAAAATCCAAATACCACTCACTCACTGATCGCTGTATCTCAAAAACTACGCAACGTACGGACTTGAAATTTGGAATAGAGGTTCTTCTCATATTTTCACAGTGCAATAAGAAAGGATTTGCCGAAATTCGCATTTTAAATAGGTGCTCAAACAGGGACATTGAGATTCACGATGGAAATTGGAAATTTTATTTTTATTTATTAATAGTTGCCATTGGTTACAGTTTACAGTAGAAATTTAGCATTTATTTATTATTGGTTGCCATCGGTTATTCGGGCAGATCAGGTAGAAGCTTGCATCAAATCGAATTATTGAACATTGCTTACCAGGGTGGCTGAGTTGCACTTACCGCAGCAAGTTACACCCAAAAGGAGTTGAACAATCATAATTTTTTTAATAGTTGCGATTTTTTAAGGGCAAAAAAATTTGTTGTATTAATCCACCGTATTATATCAAAATAAACTTGGTATAACTTTGATACTTTAGAGTTAAATCATACACTTACGTACAAACACATAACTGGGTCTGCGATCTGCCGCAAGTACCTACCTGTGTTGCACCTACCTGATATATACTGCTGAGAATCAGAATTTTTATTCCAGGCAATAGAATAGTTTAGATAAATTTTGAACACCATACACCAAATTTTAAATAAGGAATTGAACAAAGTTTGAGTCATATAGAGTTGGTACATTTAACTAGCAACGAAGTGCACAGGATCAGCTAGTTATATATATATTAAATAGAGGCTATCAGTGTTTCTCAATCTTTTGACTGTGGCGACCCCCTTTTTTAATTTCAATTTTTTGGAGACCCCCTAAATATATTTATTTTATTATATACTCGCATGGAATATAGATTATTATTAATAATCAATACTAAAAGAACTGTACATTGTACACAACATAAAATACATTATACATATAATATTATAATTATTTTTAATTAAAAAAAAACATATTATTAAACGTTAAACTTTAATTCATACTCGTCCCCCAGGTTGAGAAACACTGAAATAGACTATACATAAGTAATTTTTGTTATTGATCAGAAATACGTAGGCAAACTGAGGCTATTAGTATAATATCATATGGATATTTACATGATTGGTTTTTATATTGTACTATACTTAACAGTATTTTTTTGCAATGATTATTTTTTTCCTCCAGTGTTTAAACAGAAATCAAAGTTTTAATTTCCCATGAATACGAAATCAATGTTTATAAAAAAAAACATCAAAAACCAAAGGATAGGATTTAAAATAAAAATAAAAATAGTAAATAGTCCGTGAAAAAATTTGCAAGAACAATAAATACTGGTTAGGTTAGGTCGGTGGTCCAATTAGGTATCTAATTCCATAATAAAGAAAATAAGTAAACAAAGCATTAAATACAAATATCAAACATACACTTTTTAAGAGCATTATTGCAATAAAAAATCACAAACAATCTTATCATATAAACATAATATTCTATAGAAAAAAAATTACTATAACATTATAGTTAAACAAATTATAGTAGATATAACTATTTAATAGGTAAAAGAACTAAAATGATTTACTTATTATGACTATATAAATATAGTTATTTTTTATGGTAATATTTACTAAATTTCATAGTTAACAGAGTTTTTAATGTTTGAATTAACTAAAAAATTTAGTTAAAATAACATATTTCAGTTCGAATAACTATAATAACTTGACTATAATATTTTAGTAATTCTGACTAACCTTATAGTTATATTATATTATATTATATTATAGCAATTATAATGTACAGTCAATCCTATTATTTTTATAGTACGAACAACTGTTTTGTTTTTTCATTGTACAATATAGTCAAGTCGGAAAACTGGCGATTACAATCAAAGCGACACGTCTACATCGTTGATATTAGATAATAACGATAAATTATAGTTTATAAAGTATATAAAAATGTTGATACAATATTGTTGGCTTTAACAGACGTTATTATGTTTAGTACGTAGTACGATGGCTAACCTGGCTAGGCAATTGGATCGAGCAGGAGATTTTAGATACAAATACTACCTAATTAAAAAAAAAAGATTTTGTTTTTTGGTTGTGGTTCACAAAGTTAACTTAAAATTTTCTCCGAATATTCATATCAGCATTGGGGCATTCTACAAGATACAAATTTTCAAATAAATTTTGGTATGTTTGAGTAAATATCAAAAATACACGGTCACAGTTTTTTTAATCCATTTTTAAAGTATAAAATTTGACAAAAATTTGTATTCAAACGTAAAATAACGATTTTTCCTCAAATGACTCTAGTTATTCTGTTGTAATTTAAAAAAATATATCAATTACAAACAATCCAATATTATAATATAATTTGCTATACACAATGACATTTTGTAAACATTCAGACTATAGTTAAGTCCCCACGAACAGTTAAACATTACGATATTATAACGTTTTATGGTAATTTGATAATAATTTTATTTTTATATCTTAAACGGGGATAAAACCAAAACCATGCAATATAAATCCTATTATGTTTGATTATCGTTTAACATTTATACAGAATCTTGTATTACTATATTTGCTTATTTAAATAGGACGAAACCGGAAACATAAGCAGTATAAAAGGACAAATGGAATATTAGATACGTTCAACACGTTTTATTTATCTACATGTAAATATCTCATTATTGATTTGTAATATAATACAATTTTGCAATTTAAATTAAATTCAATATGTTAACCTAGGAATTAATTTAAACAAATTCGCTGTGCGAGTACTCAACAATTAAATACATACATAATCTGAAATATATCGTGATAATCATAAAGAAAGTAATCGTTAATGCAAACTACTATGTTTAAATAGGTAGGCATTAGGTATAAGTACCACACATGGATTTTAAAATCAAAAGACTGTCGTTACCTACTCGTTAGCCACCTCATCATTAGTTTTCAATTCTAAACCGAAACCAGTCTTAAATATATTTTTTTTATTATTAAAATGAATTAGGTAAAAAATCTATACAAGTTTAGGTGCATTATGTAATCGTGGTGACAAAGAAATATGGGTAAGCACACTGTAGTGCCAACCGACAGGTTAAAATTATTTTTAAAAAACTTCTTTTATACTTTTTTAAGTTTGTTTTAAACATGGCAATCATTGTCTTTTTCGCTTAATTCAAAAACCATAATACTCATTAGTCATTATTCTATTACAACAGTATAAATATGCAATCATCGCCTAATTAAGCTAATAAGACGTACTATATGACTAGTTTTTATGAACAAATTAATTCAGTTTTTATGTGAAAGGTATCAAATCTTGTTAAACGAGTATGTTATTCAAGGCTGAGAGCTTACAAGTTTTTATCATATTTAAGATTTTTCATACTTTATTTTAATTGCTATTACCTTCATGCAAATTTTAGTATTGGGTTGTTATTTTAAAACTATAAAATACATTATCACATTGTATTATACACAAATTTTGACTTCAAAGCTAATGTTAATTTTAATAACCACTTGCTAAATTAGTCAAATATTGTTCAATGGTTTTCATATATATAAATATTTAATACACGATTTTACTTTAGTAATTATTTTATCATTTCAACCACTATAATTATAGTTATTGTTTATTTAAAAAATTGTCTTAGATAATATCATATATTTGTATTGTGTACATATAATATTATACTATACAGGGTGTCCCGTGAGGATTTACTCATTGCGATATCTCCTGAAATAATGGAGATATCGTAATTATGTTTTTTTATTAAGACTCGCAGAGGTAAACACTACAAATATTTTATTTTTTAATTAAATTAAATTTTTTAGTAAAAAAGTTAAAAAAATTATTTTTTTATTTTTTTATTTTTGAAAAAATTGAAGATAGCCATTCTATAGAGTATATTTTTGTGAACATTTTGAGCTTTTAACATTTTATTTTCATTAATCTCATGATTTTTAATAATTTTTTTAGTTTATTAGTAAAACGTCAATAAACTGGTTTTTGTCCGGGCGGCGAGTCCCCCTCTACGGCTAATGAGTAAATCCTCACGGGACACCCTGTATATTAATACGTTAATGTATAGGTAAGTAAAACATTGATATGGGTATTAATTATTTAATTATTACGTGTAAATGTATAATTACGATAATAATTATAATAAAGTATAAACATCAATTATATCAGTATAGAATTTTGAGTTATTAAGGATGTGTTGTCATTGTGTCAATGATATTTTTTCCAAAAAAATTATATATCAAAGAAAATTATTTTTTATTTGGTAGTTTAAAGACTTGATTACAACTCTTTTATTAAGCATAGGTGATCGTTTTTTTCAATGATTATTATTATTATTTTACAAGATAATTATTATACGATCTTATTATACGATCTCATATTATGTTATGCAATAAGTAAAAGTGCTAAATATATAGAATACATTTGCCATTTGGAATGAGTGAGATGAGAAAGACACTCAATGGGTTCACTCCCAACAATGAATATTATTATTTTGAGATGAAGAAGGAATAATCTTGAAAAATTATCTCATACCATTGTAATTTTAGGTGGCCATCAGATACATTGGGCTACGTAAATTATGAATGTTTTGAGAAGAGTGAGCGGAAATTAATCAGTAATTTAATTTTAACATTTATGAATAAAAGTTTCTATAATGTACCTAATAGGTGTATTTGCATTTTTAGATATTATATTATATATACTATGTCGTTGCGTGGAGACGTAAAACGGAGCTTTTAATATTGTTCATAGAATTGAACTAATACTATTTGAGCTATTTGAATTTGATATTTTTGCAGTAGATAACTCATGATTCATGAAACATATCATGAACAAAATATGGACAATTAATGTAACAGATTTACTCTACTTTTCTACTTTCCACCAAGCTCATTATAACCATGAGACGACCAGAGGGGAAAAATAGTTGTTCCAGGCTCAGCACCGAAAATATATTCAAAGCTCCGTTGGTAATTTTATAAAATTTTGCAATGAGCATAACATTATTTGTAAATTTGTGTTGAAAATTGCAATTCCCTATAAGATAATTCCTTTTTAAATAACAACAAAAAAACAAAATTTTTATTGCATAAGGATTTCTCTGTTTTTTTCATTGTTGCTCCCTGCAATTATCATTAATTGCTGGGGATTTTCCACTTTTTACAACTAACCTTACAACTACTAACTAGATTCAATTTTAACGCAGTAACCACTCTCAATAATGCAGATTACAGTGTCATAAGACGTCAGAAAAAAAATCATTATTGTAAAACCAACCATTAAGAATCTAATAAAACACATTGTTAGGGTAACAAAAATTAAGAATTTTACGTGGACGAACTATTGAAGACAAAAACATTTTGGTATATAGACATATGTACAGATATTGTAATATATAAAAACATATTATGTTCTTCTAGTATAAGTTACCTATACTTAATGATTTTGTTTTCAAGATTTAATACAATTATCGAACATAAAATATTTTTCTTTAAACATTTTACTACAAATCTTCACACGATTAACTCATTACTCTTCAAACACTGATAGCTTTATTTTTATTATTATTATTTCAACAATACAATCATATAAATATATTAAATAAATATACAAATTAAAATTAAAATTATTAAAAATGTATACACTTGTCTATTATTATATTATTAACAATTATAAAATGTAACTACATTTTATAATATCTCCATTAAATAGGTATATCAAATAATAATTATAACTTAAACATGCACAATTGTTTGATAAATTCAATTGCACAAGTCATTATTTATTGTTTTAAACAAAAAGTATTGAAGATCTGTTGCACAATAGACGTTTGTATGACCCATTATAAAATATATATTAAATTGCTTGAAGTTCTATAATTTTAACTAAAATGAATGTTAAAATACCCTAATAAATATAGTTTATCTACTCCACATCATCTATCATGTATGATTTCATTGTTAGTGCATTGTGCATTATATAAAATAAATATGATTTCATAGTTGAACTGTTACTTTATAGAGACAAAATATAATCACGAGCAGAGACCATTTGATTGTACGTTTCTTCTGCAAACACAAAACAAATTGATTAAGTACAAAAAAAAAGTTTGTGCACAATTTTGATTTATATATGAACGTATTTTTGTGAATTACCGCAATATTCATAATGTGATTTTCCACTGCCTCCCATTTCTTGGGGCATTATATCGATGGGTACGCGATCAAAAATTTCTGTCGAACCCTCTGGAAATACTGTCAACTAAAACACAAATCATAATCCGCAGCATAAACATATTAATATTTTATCTAAATTTGTATTTTTGAGATAGTTAAACATAAAACTTAAAAGAAGGCAAGTGTTCCAGATTTAATTTATAAATTATTTAAGCTGCCGTTCTGTTTTGTTCTGTTCTGCGTCCTCTTCGCATGTTTCGTGTTTCATTTTTCTGCCTTGTCAATACTACAATATTAATGCTGTGTATTTGCAACAAATTGTAGTATTATTTATATAAATAAAAGACTAAATAAAAAAACATTACTGTTGGATTGTCGATTTTTTTTTTAATTTCTCATATAAAGTAGGGAAGTGTTGGATAATGATTCAGCATAAATACTTGTAGGTATTGATGATAATTACTGAAATGTCTATAAAGAATAAAACATCGAAACAGTTTTCATGAAGCGGAAAGTAAATAGGTATATGATTATCTTCTTAAAGAATAAATGAAAATTAAAAAAAAATATATTATATTCAACCTAATTGTTTTTGGGCTTGTCCGGTATTCATGAATAAAATAAATATAAAATAAATACGACTTTAATACGACTTACCAGGTCCATAAGACCATTCCTCATAAACGGTCTTATTATGTTAAACAGCATACTAATTATATTTCCAGCATTTAAAACATGCACTTCCTTAAGTCGCACTGGCAATGCTTCCTAGAAAAACATAATACAAAATTTAAGTTAACACTTTGAGGTTTTTTTTCCATGAACATATGTATCTGATTGTGGCTAATATTACTATATTTTATTAAACACGTCATATTACAGAAAACCCACGTATCATAATGTAGGCACCTACTTATTCAAATCAAATAATAATCAATTTATTAAATCTGTATATTATGTAGATACGATATAAAAAAAAAAAGTAAACATAAATAATATTCGAAATATTAACTGGTGGTGAATGGTACCTGGTGGGAATGACATGCATGTATTAAGTAATATTATAACTAAATTATGTTTAACACAATACTATATTTTGTATAAATTATAAATTGTGCAACATAGGTTATAGGTTATATTATATTATTTATATTTAACTGTATAAACTATGTCGTAGTTTAAGTTATATACGCTTAAGGTTAGAGTCGTACTTACTACGGCGTACCTGCTGTTATAAGTGTATAACCTTAAGGTTTTCAGATTTGTATTATGATTTATGATGAATAATTAATATTCATAGATTATATTATAAAATATAAATTATAATTATAATTTTGACCTGCTATAAGATTATCGACACTCAGCCTAGCTCAAAGGCATTATAATATACCAGTGTCCTGCAGTACACCAATCTGCATAATAATCGTGGTAGGTGATGATCATATATAAATATTGTTTTTTTCGATCAATATAACCTGTAATATATTATAAGTTGGAATGATCCAATTGTTTTCGTTGTACCCACTTGTACGAATCCGAGTAATTTTTTCATTGTATTCATCGGCGTCTTGGTGACATGCCGCCAGCATACACCTTTGCTGTTCATTGTTAATACCAGCCCGTCAAATGTGCCGCTTGTAGCCATTAGATATTCCAACATCATAAAAAAGTATCTAACACAACGCACGTAGTCGTATTCTCGAGGGTCGGTGTTTTTGAAGTTTGTGTAAAGGATGCGCTCTTGTTTGCCGGTACTTGGATTTGACACTATCGAAATGCTCCTATGTAAAACGAAACAAAAAACCAAAAATCAATGTCCCTAAATTGCACAGGTTAAAGTTATAACTAATATATTTGAGCCAGTATCGTGACTCGTGAGTTCTGCAGACAACGTTGCCTACGGTAATAAGTGTATTATTAACGTAATAATTACGTTGTTTAAAGGTGATAGGTAAATAGTTTTTAATTATTTAACTTATTAACCCTCGTTTTAATATTCAGTGAAAATATTTTTGGAGTTCAGAAAACGATCGTTTCAAGATCAAAAATCAAAATCAAAGTGTTAAAAGGGTTAACTAATTTTGTCACCACTTAATAAGATTGTAAAAGTAAAATGTAATAATACTCTATCTACTATTCAGACCTTTACTTATATGCAGTTATTTTGCACGACTGATCCGATGTAATTGTTGTGCCTTTGACATTTTAGATTATAAAATAACCTAAATGTCTAATTATTTTATGGCCACGACACCCGCAGAGGGGTGACGATGCCCCCTACTAATTTTTAACTACATGTACTTTAATATCAGTATCGCTATAACTATTATTAGATTGTATTGTAATAGTAGTTCTTATATCTTATCCTCCTGGCGAACATTTTTTATGGCACACTAGATCTAGTTCTAAGTGTTATAAAGTCAACGGATAATTATAATTTACCTAAACGTCAATTGTATTTTCGGTTTGAATATTATGAGGTATTCTAAAAATACCTAAAATACTTTATAGGTATAGGTATTGACAATAGTCGTGTAGTACTATACAGTACCTACTTACATGCTGTCGAATACCTGTTTCATCTCTTCATCCGATGGATCGTAATTTTCAAAAACTTGTGGCAGTTCTTTACGGTACTTGCAATTAGCAACGATTGTCTTGTACGCCACGTCCACATCGAAGTAACTACTGTGGAGGAACATGACGATTAATTTGTCTACAAAAAACAACAAACAACCGGGTTAGGGAATAGACAAACGTAAATGTGTGGAGACTTTTATACATAGTTATAAGTTATAACTTATATTATCGAATTCGATACATATATTGCAGGGCTCGACTTGGGGGGACGCAGGGGGGCGGACTGCCAAAATTAATTGTTCAGAAATTTTAGAGTATTCTTACTATTATTTTTAAAAGGAACGCATCGTTCTGAATTTTTATCAAAATACCATTATAATATGTCTTATGGATTATTTCATAACCGTGGATTTATAAATTATAATACTTACTTATATATTTTTTTTTTTTTATGAATAGGTTACTTATAAATATTTTTTATATGATTTAAAGAAGGGTATTAGAGAATGTGGGGACAGAGCCCTCACGGCTCAATAACGTTTGACGAGTGATGGGGGACGGTCTTTTTTTTAAAAGTAAACAGAGTCCCCCTATTTTAATTTTGACAAGTCAAACCACTGCACATATAAATTATATATTTATATATTAATATCATAATTCATATATTAAGTATATATTATTGAATTCCATAAAATACATAACGTGTATTTAAGGTTACCCCAAAAGGTTATTCTATAAAACCGTACCTCGTATAGGGGGTAAATCAATATTTTCTTTCAGCCGCTCTTTTAGCGCTTCGATGTCTTTTAAATTTAATTCAGGATATTTTTCTTGTTCTGACTTCAAAAATTCTTCATAACTAGTTTCCGGTTTATACATTTTGTCTGACCTTGAACAGTTATAATAAATTATGTAGTAAGTATTTGGTTATAGTCTTGGATAAGTATAATATCATTATTCATAACTCATAATAGTATTAAAACAAAACTATTTTTATCATTTCTTAACTGAATAGTTAATAGTTATAAACTGTTTAGTTAAGAAAGTTATATAGTTGTTTAGCATAATAAACTGATATACTATAAACTAAGCATTCTATAATACACCACACAGCTGTTGACACACATTTCAGCAGTGTTGTAAAGTATTTGAGTAAAAGTATTTGAGTAAAAGTATTCAAATACTTTTTTCCGTATTGAATACTTTTTCAAATACTTTTATTTTTGAAGTATTTTAACGGTATTTTAAATACATTTTTTTACTATTGAATACTATTTTATTGAATACTTTTTTTATTCCTTCAACTTTTTATTCATTGTCAAATAATAATAATGTCTTAATAATATTATAATAGGTATATATTTATCATTTATGAACAATTCTATATTGGTTTTAGTTTTCGTCTATTAATAGCTAATTAACATTAGTTACTCTGAGAAACCGTCTGTTTATAGTCGACACTCGACGACGATTGGAACGGTACGTTTCGGTACCTACTACCTACCAATATAGTATATTATCATAGCGAAATATAATACGAACATTAGGTAGGTAAGGTATGTCGTATACGTACGTATTTTTTTGTTTTGTATTTGAAAATTATTTCAAATACTTCTAAAAAGTATTTGAGTAATACTCAAATACTTTACAATAGATAGTATTTGGGTGGTATTTTAAATACTTTATTTTATAAGTATTTGAGTAATTACTCAAATACTTTTTAAAAGTATTTTTTACAACACTGCATTTCAGTAGTAGTACCAGACTAAGGTGAACTTAACAATTTTCCTACTGACGTCTAACGTGTTATGAAGGTTAAAGAGACTTTGGAACTGGAAATTATAATTAAAAACACATAGCATATTAACATGTTGATTAGAAATCATGCCTATATAAACATATAATACTATATGTAATAGCATAGTATTATTATTAAAATAAAAACATTATAATGTATTTGATTGTACTCTTTTCATTTTTATGTAGTACCTATAGGTAAAAACATTAATATTAATTTATAAATACCAAATAAAAATGAATTTATTCTTTTAGAAATAGGAATAAAGGCAACAATTGTTACGATTTTCAATTGGTACATTATGAACGTGTTGATGTTATACATAATATAATATATCAATATTGTAAAATGCATTATTGCATTACATTCTATAGGTACATAAGTTAGACATTAAACACACACGCTATATATAGCCACCAATATAACTATTAGTTATAACTGATAACCGACAAACATAAAATTACATGTATACATTTGACATTTTTTGCAGTTTTCGGCTACGTCCAAATTATTATAGGTAAGTGCTTTATTAAATTTGCACATGGCAATGAGTACGATATCGGATATTCACCATCAACATAACGAACTCAAAGAAACAATAATTAACAACCATTTTCAAATCATACAGTAAATTACCAATTAAAATGTATAAATTAAATTATTTTTATTTTTTAAAAACCTTTTGCAAAAGTGCTCATACCTTAGGGATGCCAGATTTCAAAATAAAAAATACGGGACAATACTGTAAACAATTAAATAATGGTTTGGGGGGGGGGGGGGGGGGTGTTGAAACGTTGGCCTTTTGGTACCTACCATCCCAGTATGTTAGAGCCTGATAAGTGTTACACAGTTTATTTTGTGAAAAAACGATTTTTAAGAAACCATATAAAAATATGGCACAAAACATTTCACAATTAAGAAAAAATGACTAGTTAAATAAAAATGTAAATTTTCATTAAAAACGCACTTTCTTTTAACCTTAGGCATAGTTGCTTTTGTTAGAGTTTATAATAAAAAAATATTAGGCTAAGAACAGAAACGATAGGAACAAAATATTTATTTTTTTTAAATAAATATCTATCAAATTCAAATGAAAACTATGAATAACTGATAAGTGATAAGAAACGAGTATGCAGCACGATTAAAGATATATAAAGGTATATCTTTAATCGTGGTATGCAGTAATTCACAATCTTGACTTTGGGTATTGAAGTTAAGAATAGCAGATTCCAAATTGTTTACCGAACGGTAAGTGATAGGAACGCATAGACCAGAAACATTTATGTTAATAATATGTTATCAGTCAATCAGTGGTCAAAAATATTTTTGTCTCGACATTTGAAAACACATTTTGAATATAGTATATATGGAAATATTAAACAATAATGTATTCTATTTTTATGGGACATACGGGACGAGAATTTCATAATACGGGACATTTTTACGATATTGGATCTGTTACGGGGACACCGGGACACTGTCATGAATTACGGGACGTTCCCGTATAATACGGGACGTATGGCATCCCTATCATACCTTATAATATAATAAAAGGCTTATATCGTAATCTGCAGATCACCCGACTACGTCAAAATATACATATACTGTATAATGCATAAAATGTATATAAATATGTATTTAAATCATAATAATTATTATCAATTATCATACATAATAATATTATGTTTTACTAATATTTAGCATACACAAGTTACACAATGCGTGTTAAATAATTATAATGTGTCATCAATATTTTTTTTTATCTTATACTAATACTTAACGTGGCCATGTCCCATTTTGGATGGTACAGTCTCGTTTTCGAGTTATGTGTCAACATGTGACATTGCGTTCTACCAAAAAATATTTGGACTGTAAGTCCCCAAGAGTAAAAATTTAATAATAATAAATTAGAGTCTTTTTCGCATCGGCCACTCGTATATTATAATATATTATTATGTAATAATATATACATAATACATTATATTTAGATGTACAATCACTGAGTATATTTCTACTCAAAATCGTCGGGTAGAAGTATTTACAAACTCCCATGCTAAAGTTCTTATTCACACACAATTATGAAATATTTGTATAATTGTATTTGACAACTTTAAACATAAACAAGAACTTACTTTTTAATTTAAATAAGACATTTTTAGGTGTATGTAACACTAAGTATATTTATATTATAAATGTAAGCAGTGCGTTCAATAATAAAAGTATACCTAATTCGAGATATAAGACCTTGAAATTAAATTCGTGGTTTATTTACTGCATATACCTATACGACTTCTTGTTACACGAATTTTTAAAAATATTAAATTCTTACCTTTTTCCTATGAATGTGTAGCAAAACAATATTATTTTGAATGCCACTCTTTTTGAGTTCGAATTTCAATTATATGATATTTTTAAACAACTTTGAGTAAGTTAAAGTACCTATCATTCTATGCCCGAATAACGGATTTATCTAATTTTAACAGTCCACCTACGATTATAAAAATTGTGAAATTGTATCAACTATAACAGGAATAACTTTGAACAATTTACTTATACTTGTGTAAAAATTTATATTGCGCAAACATAATACAAAATAATTGTATAGCATTTTAATACGTTTAACAATTAACATTGATTTTTGTAGATATAATTTATTACGCGGTCAACAACCTCATAATTGATAAAATGTAAAAAGCAATTCACCTTTAGTATAACGTTATTGTTCAGGTGTTCTAATAGCCGTTTAAACGGATAATTTGATCGCAGAGTCCACATCACTGAAAATTACACTTCAACACACTAGAAACTGCAAACTTAAAGGATTTTGAGTTCGGACTAATTATTAGACAAATTAAGATTGGCTACATTGATAAATAATGAATATAAATCAATGCAAATAATAAAAAAAAACTCTTTCAACTAATGAAGCTGAGATAACAATATTATTTTAAAAACATAAAAAGATTATAAATTAAATTATAACATAATCGGTTATTCAACATTTATCCGTAAATAGGTATTATTTCAATTGACGATTATAATATTGTACAGTTTGCATTCGGCCTCAGTCCAATGATGTCACACGCGAGCTGGTGAGCCTGCAGATAAACGGATCAATGTTTGCTCAAAAAGAAATACTCAAAGACTTGTGGGAATTATATAGTAGCCCCTCAAAAAACTTAGGACATACAATTTTATTATGCTATATTGCAATGGGGTCTACTTGCCTTTAATGTATTCACTATTCAGCCCCCCCCCCCCCCAAGCCAAAAGTTTAAATTGCGCCTTTATGCTCGTATAACAGGAAAATATCATTTTGATAGTTTTAGATAACCGGATTGTGATGTTTCACAAAATAAGAGAAGTAGTCGAGATAACGGAGGCAGTCTTGGGTGGTTGTCGCGATAACAGCCGTAGTCTCGTATAACAGGAAAGTACCAAACTAAATTTTAAAAAACCTATGAAATTGCTCTGTTGTACTATAGTGTAGAAAGACTTTCGATTTTTGAATGTAGAAATGTGTACTAAATTTGAATTGATTCAAATGATTATTCATTGCATACCTATGAAAAAAGATTCTGTATGTAGGTAGGTATGTCAGATTTTATTGGGCCTTTTTTGATGTTTTTCAGCTTTATAGGTTTGTAGTGAATTAACGATTGAAGATAAAGTTTAGTAAAAATCTTCACTGCACTTCTCCTAGTCAATTTGAATCTAACAAGACCCCAAATGACAAAAATTGTTCTCCAGTTTCATAATCTACCTCTCTAATGGAAAATCTAGCAAAAAATAACTCTTTTTTAAAATGAGAAAAATTAAATAATTTTTTTTAAAAGTTTTCATTTTCACATTTTGTATCTGTTTGATAATTAATTTCCAATGAGCTATCAACAAAAATAGCTATCATAGTTAAAGAGAAAAGTTAAAAAATAGAAATTTTGGAACTGTTCACACTGACGTTTTTGTGGATTTAAATCGTTATGCAGCTTGAGTGTGATAACGGATCTCTCTCATTAATATTTTATATTAAAGCTAGCTTAATTACCCACCTATACATTATTACTGAGTTACATTTTTATTC